CGTCATGCAATCATCCAAAGAATCGAACAAGATCAGCAAAGTGAAACGAACCTATCTGAAGATTCTTCCAATTCACAAAATTCCTCTATTAATTCTTATTCTCCTAATTCCTCTGCTAGTTCTTCAAGCCAGCGATCATTTTTAGGAATTACATTAACTATATGGACTCGCTTTAAACAGATCTTCGATAGGGATATGGCTCAGAGAAGATATACTTTTGACGAAATGTGTTATTCCGTAGCCATGTGCATTCGTGAACTTGGAGGAGATATTAGGCAATCAACGATCAAAAACTTTTATAATAGAAGTAGTAGTTGTAAATCAAGTACTGTGGACCAAATTGGTTCATGGATAGATAGTATGGAGTAGTGGGAAGGAACTCTCATTTATGGGTTAGGGCTCGAGTACTTCCTCCCTTTAAACTCGCTACTCTATCATTTTATATTGTATTAGTTTAGTCAATTTCATATAAAAATAATAAAGATACATCTTAATTTTTAAAATAATAATAAGTTCACATATCTGTATTTTTTGCTCGATTATCGCATCGCCATAAACGAAAGAAGTCCCATTATTTTTTGTTGTATGCGCTTCAAGCCTTTCATTTAGTCCATAGCCCTGATCTTCTGCGATCCTCTTTTCCAAGTACTTACCTCCAATGTATTCTCTGACCATAACTTCTTCGTGAAAATCTGAAGGAAGGTCATAATAATAACGAAAATCTACAGGATCTTTCTTGGATGCAGGTATAAAAAGTTGAGTGTCTTTACCATATTTTCTGATATATTGATGTAATAAATAGTCTATCTGCATAATCGATCAGATAATTAATATGTCACACAACATCAATGGGGCTGTGCAACGAAATTATTTTTAATTTTCCACCATATGAGATGTCCACCAGCAATATGGGGGTCTGAGAACTCCTGACCAAAATTGAGTTTTTTGCATAATGTATATCATAAGGATTATACACAGGTAGACTCGATAAGTCAGTTTTGGCCTAAGTCAGCCAAAATTTTTCAGCCCTTTTTTTCCCTATTTAAAATCCCTTGATAAGTCAGCCGACCTA